AGGAGCAGCTGAGCGGGCAACAGACACGAGATCAGCACTGCTTCCTGATTTGTAGAACTCAAGCCTTCTCCACTATATATTATAGTCGATGAGTTTATAAATATTGACTCGTACATTGACAATAATGAAAGGTGGACAAGCTTTTTGCTTGTTTTGTTTATGTGCCAGCAAAAGGCCTTCAGTAATGACAAGGCGGTTGCCATTCAGAGAGAGTGTGAGTTTTTAAAAGAAACGATGCGTTGTTTCGCACATTTGTCGACCTTGTGCTCAAATACCGTTCTCCTTGCAGGCGATGCGCTGTTGGTTCACCCGGTTACAGCCCAAGGGGCGCGAGGGGTGCAGGTGTACTTGCCCGGCAAAGGAGAGGTAAGCCGGGCTGGCACAGCAAGAACGAAGCAAAGCATTGTGGGAGTGGAAAGAAGAGGAGGGACAGTTCAGAATGTGAAATTCCCGTCCTTTCTCCCTAGCTGGCTGTAGAGGTGGCCGTGAACCTCGGTTCGGAGGTTCCTGCCAGTTTGCACACATGGGGCCCCACTGTTCCTTCCTCTGCTTCCCCAGCTGAATCCCCCCCCCTTGCCAGCAGGCTCCTCCCTTCCTCTTTGGCTGTTCAGCCAGTCTGCGGTAGGAGCCCAGGCTTCCTTGCCCTGCCTCTTTGGCTGATGGCCGATTCTGACAAGGAGGCAGGACCAGCAAGCCCAGGCTCCTGCTGGGGACTGGTGGGACGGCCGAAGAGGAGGAGGAATAGAGGAGCCCCCCCCAGCTGACGAGTGGGTCACTGGTCAAGAAAGCTGAGGAAGGAAACGCAGACGAACTGGCATAAAACTCCACATCAAGGCTCGTTCCCATCTCCAGTTGGGTGTTCTGTGATCTCTTGTTTTATATTTATTGATTCTGTGTCGAGTCCTGATGGGCAGGTCATCTCACAGTCCAAAACTCTCTCTTCACTTTCCTTTTCTCTCACGCCCCCCCTCCCAATATACAGGTTTGGTACGACGTCCACACCCATCAGAAACTTCATGCACCCCAAACGCATTACTTAGCTGTCACCATGGGTACGGTAAGTCGGTGTGGGAGTGGCGGAAGGGCACATTCTAAAGTCATGAAAAATTGCTGGACAGGGCAGGTAAACCCCGGGGAGTGTGGGCACGAGGTGGGGAGACGGTGGCCCTGTCGGGGCTCCAGTTCTCACCAGTTCTTGCCAGCCAGTGGGAGTTGTGGTTTGTCGACCCGTAGAGACCCACAGCTTCATTGGCTCCGATGTAGATAAAGAGCACGACTCGGAGGACTTCCCCTACTGTTTCCTCCTCAGATTCCTGTGTACCAGCGTGGCGGCAGCATCGTGGCTCGGAAAGAGCGGGTGCGGCGGTCTTCGGACTGCATGCAGAACGACCCTTACACCCTCTACGTGGCCCTGGGCCCCCAGGTGAGCAGGGCAGGGAACTGGGGAATGGGGCTTCGGAGCCTGTCCCGTAAAATTTAACACCAGACAGACTTGGGGTGGGTATGTTTGGGCACCTTGCTTCCAGGCAACTGCTCCTGAAGGGGCTTATCCTTGGCCCCTGCCGGTGCTCAGCGCCAGCTCTGTCACTAGACGACATGTGGCAGATGCCTCGGGTGCTTGGCACTGTGGGGTGCCCCTCTGGGAAGTGGGGAACATCATATCTCCTTTATCTCAGGCATCCTCCCACACACACACTATTCAGGTTCTGTCGAAGAACAGAAAAGCACAACGCTGCATTTAACTCACCAATTCACCAATTGTTTCCCTTTCTAAATTCCCACACAGGGCACAGCTGAAGGCGAGCTGTTTCTTGACGACGGGCACACATTTTACTTTGAGACCAAGAGACAATACCTGCATCGCCGCTTCAGTTTCTCTGGCAACACCTTGATATCCAGGTACTTGTCTTGCCCCGTCCCCAGTCTCTCCTACCTTTATGTCATTCCCAGCAAAATAGCAAATTTGGGACTATTTGCCACCCCTTGAAATGACAGATAGGGCAGCGATGAGATGCTGTGCTGCTTTGTTCAAATATGTCTCCCTGCACATAGAAAACTAGCATGTCAGGGAGAAATGCTCTCCCAAAGCCCTGTTCACAACTGCCATGGGACGCGTGGTCTACATATCAGGAGCAAGCTTTCATGGTGTCTATCTTCCACTTTATGCCAGTGCACTTGAATTGGCTCAGTAATCATGGAAGATTAATCGCCTAAGATTTCTTTTGATTAACTGATAAGCCATAAGAAGTTCAACTAGACCCATGAGCTGACATTTACACACTGAGCCATTTGTGGTTTCAGCCCACTGTGAAATTCTTTAAGCATCTAGTTGCTTGGAGGAGCTTTCTACTCACCACGGGTGATCAGGTGGGGGGCTTATTCTAGTTAACACCCTGATACTTGAAGCTGCATATACCTATCTGATTGAACCAAGTTCCTTCCAGGTAGTTCGGCCCACAGCTCTCATTAACCTCAGTCAATTCATAATTAATAGTTATGGGAGTTGTAATCCAGAACATCTCGCTGGCTCCAGCTTAGGGAAAGCTGCCGTAAGATGATCTATTTCTGTCCTCTCTCCTCATCTTTTCTCCATCCTCACAGCACGGCGGATACAAATGGCACCTTCGAAACGCCCGCCTGGCTAGAACGAGTAGTGATCCTGGGAGCAGGGAAGCCCGCTGCTATCTTCCTCAACCAAGAGGGTGCGTAACTTAACTATAGAAGGATGCAGGTTCAATTCCCGGCGCCCTCTGTTTGGGAGAAAGAACACCCTTCTGAATTTTGTGAACCAGGGGATACAGAATTGTGATATAAATTGAAATCCAGTGTAAGTTTTTGAGGATTTCCAACTTCATACCATCATCTGGTGCCACTGGGGGAACACGTTTTCTTTTGAGCTTGCTTAGTTTCAATCTCTCTCTCTAACTCTTTAATGCTCTTTTCCTCTTCTCCACCTTCTCCATCTTACAGGGGCAACAGAGACCCGTCTGGATTTCACCCACGAAGCTGAAACATCGGTCTTAACCATCCGGAAACCGGCCGTTAACATTGGGACAGACTGACCTTCTCCATCTTACAGGGGCAACAGAGACCCGTCTGGATTTCACCCACGAAGCTGAAACATCGGTCTTAACCATCCGGAAACCGGCCGTTAACGTTGGGACAGACTGGAGCATATCCCTGCGATAATGCCACGAGGCGGGGTGGGGGGGCAGGGGATGGGGTGGGGGGAGATCCAACTGGTTAGGGCTCAAGAGACGCTTTGGCAACGTTGAGTTGCTCTCGGCTGGCTCCCTTGCACTTGAGCGTGGGCCGGACAAGCAAGGGGCTCTCTGCCAGCCGCGTCTCAGGTCCACCATCCCAAACTACTCAGTCATGTCTAGGGGAGGGTGTGGCAAATGCTCTCCCCCACTTTTCCCCTCAGACCCTGGGCTCAGCCTCTGATCCGTTCCAAGTGGTTCCCTAGATTTAACTTTTTTAGCAATATTTGCTGTAGAATTGAAGATTCTCCAGGTTGGAGTTGGTTGCGACCCTGTTTCCCTTTCCTCAGGGTAATTAAGAATGGTGATCCACCCTCTCTCCTCCTCTTCCCGCCCCCTCCAACAATGTCACGTCGGGGCCAACTTTTTAGAAACTGGACCTTTCCAGAGGAGGCAGCGGGGGGTGGTTAACGCCCGTCACCTCCCCACCTTCTCTGCTTTCTTTTATTTCACACCCTCGAGGTTCCAAAGGGGTCTTTTCCCCCCCCCCCCCAGTTGTTCCCTGTGAGTGAGGAAGACCGTTCTGTTTCATTTAGGCAGAGGACAATGGCCGGGCTCTCAGTGAATCACTGTCCCTTCTATTTATGGCTTATCTCTTTTTAAAATAAATTCAGTGGGGAGTGTAGATGAAACAGATCATGTGATGTGAAAAGGCGGGTTGCGGGGATGTTGTGCTTCAGTTTGAAAACCCTGCTCTCAGTTTGGGAGCAAATGGAAATGGATGTTTTGTCCTGCTCGTGGACCTGAAAAGAGAGAAATGGAAAGGGGGGAGAGTGCAAGCTGCTATGAAAACAATCCCCTCCTGTACTGGAAAGTGAGAAGTAGAGATTCATCCTCTTAAAGAGGGGAAACTGGCTAGATTTTTAAAAATTTTCTGCTCCAGTGCCTCCCATTCTCCCGCTCCTGCTTCCCGCTGTCAGTGCTCCAGGCTTGTTTTCTGTGTGTACGTGGATTAACATTCCTAGTTCGGTTATGGCTGGTCCTCCCTTCTATGTTTGCAGGCAAAAGGCCCAGAGCAAGGCTTATGTTTTTTAAAGTCAGGCTTCCTTCTTAACACACACACAAACACACACACACACAAAACATTTTTTCTACCCCTTCCTGATTGCAATTTCATTTGCTGATAAAGCTTTCACAGACTGGATGTTTTGATAAACGATGAACAATTAAAAAGAGGAAAAGAAAAACCCCACGGAAGGACTTTGTGTCATCTTTTTTTCAGCTGCTGAAGGTTACAAGTGATTATGTACAAGGCATGGATTTGGGTATTTCGCCATATTGTGTTCCTATTCTATATGACAATACTATACTAGAAGAGGGCAGAAAATGAAAGGTGTAAACTTCAAAGTATTAATTTTTAAAACCCACACACACCTCATTATCTTTATCAGAAACAGATCACACTTTCTCAGGAGGCCGAGACTTTATTCTGGATATATCCAGAGGTCCTCTGCCTGAGGTGGCAGATGTTTGCAGAATTAAGATAGACTTGCCAAAATGGGTTTTTAGATCTTGTAAATGCATAAATTTTTGTTAGGGTATTGTAATGTTCTCCTCAGAACTTTAATTTTGAGTAACAGAGGAATCATCAGTTTCACAACCGATTGGTGATACTCAGAATGTTGACTCCTGAAAGGAAGCCACAAGCTTGAGTTTACAATAACTGAGCAAGGCAGTTGAGGATGGTATTTTAGAGGTGGCTCACTCATACAGTGGCCAGAAGTTGGGAGATGACTGGCCTGTACAGTACTTAAAAATGACAAGAGTTGGAAATGTACTATCTGGACAGGCTGATAGTGTGGTGGCGGAAGTCTTTGTTAGAAGATCCAATAGGGATGATTAGACAGGTATAAGGAAAATTGGCATTATTCTAAACAGGAATATTTGGGGCATGTGTGTAAAATGCTTTAATTATTATTATTAGGAAAAATAATTGTAATTTAATTTTTTGCACTGCAGGGACAATTGTGACCAGACTTCTTGCATGTCCACTGACTTGTTTAGGTTATCAATTTAGGTTGATAGAAAACCTAAAGACTCCATTTTGGCCTCCCTTGGACTGTTTAACTGCAGGTTTTGACTTTATAGCATTTTACGTAGAGGACATCTTCAAACAGAAGATTGTTGAACAAGCTTTCTGTCGGCAGAACACCTGCATTGTTTACTAATTTGTGTGTTGTGTGTTTTGTTTATCCAATCACTGATGACAACTTTAATAAGCGAGAATAAAAGTACAGGAGAACAAGCAGTCCCAACATGAGATGCAAATGCAATGGATAAATAATATTCCAGTATATTTTACAGTAATTACAGGAGAAATCTTTAAAAGAAGGCTAAAACCGGAAGCAGGTGCATGGGGGACCCTAGAGCGGGACGGACAGCAGACGAGGGACCGGAAGTGGCGTGTTTCTTGGGACGCGGGAAGGGGGGAGGCTGAGGCAAGGAGGGAGGGGGCCTTGAGGAGGCGAGTGGCACCGGCTGGGCTTTCCTTTCGCCTAGAGAGGCAAGAGCAGCGGTGGTGTGAGTTTAGGGGGGGCGCCTTTGCTTCGTCGCTATGGCAACGGTGTATCACCGTCTCCCCACCGTCCTTCTCACGCCTGGCGTCGGGGGAACGGTCCGGGTCGCGTTGGTGAAGTCGTGAGGTTGCGGGAGGTGGGCAGTTGGCATAGAAACGGAGTGCGGGGGGGGCGCATTTTGTTTCCTTTCCAAAGATTCCCTGAGGCAGCAGGCCTTAAGGAGGTGGATAGTAAAGGGGGGGGCGAGAAGGGCTGCTCTTAAGCCCACAGGGACAGAGGAGGC